ATTTTCAAATAATCCCCACCTTCGGATAGAACCTTAAATATTTTTTTTTTTAAATCCAAGCCTTTTGATAGACCCCTAAAAAATAGTTTCAGTAAAGTAGTAATGTCGGACTGCGATTTTTTTAAAAATATTTCTTATCTATCCAAAAGCGTGGTTTTAATAATATTTTTAGGGGTCTATGAAATGGCGTGGATTTTTAAAATATTTTTTAGGGGTCTATGAAATGGAGAAATATTTTATGTTTTTAGTGCAACTTTTACGTAAAATCGGCCGAAAATGTATATGGGAGCTATATCGAAATCTGAACTGAAACTTAGCACGCATCATTCTAGACGCAATTCAGTACGCTATGCCAAATTTCGTGCAAATCCAAGGATATAAGACGGACTTTGGAGCACTTTTTACCAAAAATCGAACAAAAATATATATGGGAGCTATATGTAAAACTGAACCGATTCTCCCGAAACTCACTACTCATCATTCTAGACTCAATTCAGTACGCTATGCCGAATTTCGTATCTAAAATCGGACTAAAATATATATGGAAGCTATATCTAAATCCGAACCGATTTTCAGGAAACTTTACACACATCATTCTAGACTTAATTCAGTACGCTGTACCAAATCTCGTGCAAATCGAAGGATATAAAGGGACTTTGGAGCACCATTTACCTTACATCGGAGGAACATATATATGGGAGCTATATCTAAATCTGAACCGCTTTTCACGAAACTTGACATACATCACTCTAGACCGATTTTTACGAAACTCACTACTCACCATTCTAGACTCAATTCAGTAAGCTATGCCAAATTTCGTACAAATCAAAGGATATAAAAGAGACTTTGGAGCACTATTTACCTAAAATCGTGCGAAAATATATATGTGAGCTATATCTAAATCTGAACCGACTTTCAGGAAATTGAACACGTATCACTCTAGACTTAATTTAGTACGCTATGCCAAATTTCGTACAAAGCAAAGGATATATAGGTCTTTGGTGCAATATTTACCTAAAATCGGACAAAAATATATATGGGAGCTATATCTAAATCTGAACCGATTTTCAGGAAACTTAACACACATCATTTTAGACCTAATTCATTACGCTGTGCCAAATTTCGTGCAAATCAAAAGATATATATAGGGAGTTTGGTGTACCATTTCTATTAAATCGGACGCAAATATATATGGAAGCTATATCGAAATCTGAACCAATTTTCCCAATTTCAATAGGGTTCGTCCTTGGGCCAAGTAAATGAGCTGTGCCAAATTTCATTCATTCGAATCGAAAATGCGACCTGTACTTTGTTTATATTTTAACATCAACAGACAGACGGACGGACATGCATAAATTCATTTAAAAAGTGATTCTGTGCATATTCTCAAAAGGAACCATGTGTCTATCTCGTTTCCTTTTGCCTGTTACAAACATATGCACAAAGACATAACACCCTGCACCACAGTATGGTGAAGGATATAAGAATCCACGCCTTTTGATAGACACCTAAAAACTATTTAAAAATATTTTTAAAACCGTTGAGCGGAACAGTATAGTAGGACAGGGCCGACCATACGATACCCTACACAACTGCCACGGAACTCTATCTTTCTGCGGATGTTTATTCCGAGCCTGGGAAATATTTCGTGATATTTGCTCCCTCTAGCCCGATTAGAGGTGATATATTTTTCGTATATTACTATTCATGTTCAGTACAGTCCTTCTAATTAATGGTCCAGATTCCCTTCACCGTGAGTTGTGTTGTGATGTTCGGCTTTCAATTGTGGCTTATAGATCGACTCGAAAAAAACACAAAAAATTAAGTATTCGGTCCACTTCATCCCATAATTATAATCTGATCATCACCGAAAGTTATAGGCCCTGTCCTTGTACATAACTGGAACCTCATGAAAATTTTAAAAGCGATCAGCGCTATATTTCCACCCTCTAGTGTGGCAATGGGTTGCTTAATAATATCTGAGTACGTATGCACCTGTAAATATTAAAGTGTAACTCCCACATACGAGTACATACGACAATATAATAGGTATTAATTTAAAGGTCAACCACTCCTCTTGAATATACTATCAACTTCTCGGGGCTATGTCCTTCAGGAGTAAACATATATGTATGTCATAGTATACAAATTTTGGCATTTTTCACACAAAAGTCAGGGTCCATCTGACCCGCTAAATATTGAACGTTCTTTAGTAAAACTGGCATGGTTATTCTTTAGTCCGATACCCTTATCTTTTCAAAAATTCGCGATGTATGGACCATAATTGCGGCCTCTGGAGCGACCAGAAAAACCGACAAAAATACAGTTTTGGTCCATTTCATGCTCTAAATATTAACCGATCTTTTCCAAAAACAATAGGGGTCTTCATTGGCCAAAACCCACCCTACATGCACAATTTCGTGAAGATTGGTCCATAACTGTGGCCTGTATCGTGTTCATGTAAAAATTCGCGATGTTTGGCCCATAATTGCGGCCTCTGGAGCGACCAGAAAAACCGACAAAAATACAGGTTTTGGTCCATTTCATGCTCTAAATATTAACCGATCTTTTCAAAAAACATTGGCCAGAACCCACCCTACATGCAAAATTACGTGAAGATTGGTCCATAACTGTGACCCGTGTCGTGTTTACAAATTATAATGGACGGACGTACAGACGGACGGACACACATGTCTCAGCTAGTCGAGATATGACGATCGGTGTACTCAAAGGTGGGTCTAGGACCAATATTTCGCGGCGTTACCAACTCTTGGAGCTGCACAAAGCTATAATACCCTGACAACATAGTTGTGTAGGGTATAAAAAATCCAGACCAATTCCAAAAAATTTACAAAACAAATCATGACCTCCATCATTGTTAATTGTCATCATATAAATCATTTCGTAATTGAGTTTTCAATGTCAAGAGGGTGTGGGTGTGTGTGTGCTGTGTATATGTTGGTACAATTGAATAATTTAGCACTATAGCATTTTATTTAGCCACAATTATGCACAGATTATACAAAATTACACTTGCAAATATTTAACATACATACAAACATATTTACACACAAATTGTTGTTGATGTTGTTGTCAACAATCCATCCTACTCATATGCCACTATGCCACACTATACTACTCTTGGAAAGAACTTCCCACGCTTTTATCTTTCGCTCACAATTATAAACATTAAAATTCCAAAAACAAAATACAATTGCAGTCACATTTGTTGGTGTTGCTTTTTGTTTTTATAAAATATAAATATTTATAAGATTTTTTATTTTTGCAAGAAAACAAGAACAACAACAACATTATCATCATAACACCAATACGCATTTGCTTGGTGTTATGATGATGACTGCTGGATGCCAGAATGCCATCCAAAACACTTTCTCAGTCATCATTATGCAGCAGACCGCACCCCCCGAGATTCTCAGAGGAGGATGAAATGTAATACCAGTTAGAAGTACAAATCTATGTATGTCGAACGACATGAGTGTACCATGAATTAGCAGAAGAAGAAGAGTCAACCTTTCTTGTCGTTCTGTGACTCTGTCATCTTAACATAAACAATTGACTTAATGTCCAAAGTTGTGTATTTGGGGTTGCTGTTTTGCTAATGGAAGTAGGGTAATATTCAGGTGTAATTTGTGTGCATATGTATGTACGTTAAGTATAATACAAGATGGGTTCTAAGAAATATACAAAAAGAGGATCCTGAATTTTTTTAAAAGGGGTCATTCAAATAGGGAATATAGGTCTATCAAAGGCGTGGATTTTTTAAAAATATTTTTAGGGGTCTATCAAAAGGTGTGGATTAAACAAATTTTTTTTTTTTGACGTCGATCAAAACAGCGTGAATTTTTATACCCTTCACCACACTGTGGTACAAGGGAATTATGTCTTTGTGCATATGTTTGTAACAGGCAAAAGGAAAAGAGATAGACCCATGGTTCCTTATGAGAATATGCATAGAATCACTTTCTAATTCGATTTATGCATGTCCGTCTGTAGATGTTAAATTGTAAACAAAGTACAGGTCGCATTTATGATGAAATTTGGCACAAGCCACTTATTTGGCGCAAGGACGAACCCTATTGATTTGCACGAAATTTGGCACAGCGTACTGAAGTAAGCCTAGAATGATGTGTGCTAAGTTTCGTGAAAATCGGTTCAGATTTAGATATAGCTCCCATATATATTTTCGCCCGATTTAAGGTAAATGGTGCACCAAAGACCCTATATATCTTTCGATTTGCACGAAATTTTGCATAGTGTACTGAATTGAGGCTAGCATGTCGTGTGTTAAGTTTCAAGAAAATCGGGTCAGATTTATATATAGCTCACATATATATTTCCGTCCGATCTAAGGTAAATGGGGCTCCAAAGTCCCTATATATCTTTCGATTTGCACGAAATTTGGCATAGGGTACTGAATTAGGTCCAGAATGATGTGTGCTAATTTTCGTGAAAATCGGTTCAGATTTAGATGTAGCTCCAATATATATTTTCGACCGATTTGATTTAAATTGTGCACTAAAGGCCCAAAGATTGGCCGACCGGCACACAATTTTGTACAATGTACTGAAGTTATTATATCCTTTCCTGTGTCAAGTTTTCTTGACCCTCGACAAAATTTCCCTTTTTACATTATTTGTAATCTCGTTGTTTTCTTTTATTACAGATAATTATATTACACTTTGAAAGCAGCAACAACACTATCAACAACTGACACAGCTTCTCATGATCTTCATTGTAGAACACTCAGAACAACCCCTCTATTAAAGACCTGATCAAGCTGTTGCGTTGTTCTTCAAATTAAAAAAAAAACAACAACAACGTGTGTGGCGTGTAATTTTTCCATCTCCAATTTGGATACCAGTGGTTTGGTTGCTATATTGAGATTACATGTTTCCACCATATGCGGTTGTTCGGCTCGTAAATTCCACACCACTAACGAGAACAGCGACGACGACAACAACAGCAACAAAAATATTATTTTCCAAACTAGCACAAAAATATGCGTTTCAATAAGGCCGAATTAGCGACATTGGCCTCAAATCCTACAACGAAATTTGAAAAAGAAGGATTATTGATTATAACCGAACGTCAAGAGGGGTTCTTTCGTAAAGCTGATGGTGGGTTTTCATAGAATTTTTAATATTTTGTCTGTAATCATCATTCAAATTGTTTTTCTTTTATTTACAGTCAACTATCCCCGTTGGTGTAAATTACGTGGCAATCTCTTGTTCTACTTAAAAGATCACGATCCAAATTCCCAGCCGGCTGGTGTTTTGGTATTGGAAAATTGTCGACCATTTATACGCAATGAAGCCCGAGAATTTGATGGTTTTGTCTTTATATTAGGTGAGTTAAAATGCATTAAATTAATTTATTTTTTATTTGATTTTAAAATTTAATTTTGTTTTCTTTGTTTCCCAGAATTTGAAGGCAGTTTACCACAACGAATTTCAACACGCACCGCCCAGGAACGTTTGGAGTGGGTGAAAAGCATACAGCTAGCTTCCTATTCCTATTTAAATCGTCAAATCCAATATCTGGAAGAACAAGTTGCCTTAGCCATGGGCAATCGTATCGAAAAAGGTTTACCCTTATATACGCCGGCCAGTGATGCAACACTGATGGCTGGTCTATTGGATTTAAATACAGCATCGAATTCGAAAGCTGTTACCAAAGTTGAAGAAGGTGATCTTATACAATTTTAAGTTGGTGTTGTGTTTTTTTTTTTAATTCCATCTTTATTTTTTTATTTATAAATATTATTGGTGTACGGTGGGGTAGGTTAATGGTTTTGGTGTTTAAATTGTATTTGTATTCAGCGAATGCTAATCATTTTCATTCTAGAAAAATATTTTTGTAATTCTATTGGGATTTAGTTAACCACAATGGTGTATTATTTTTGCAAAATAGGAAGGCGGTATTTGAACATATTTTTAAAGCACTCCCAAGAAGCGTCGGTTTAAAAAAATATATTGGAGGAATATCTTACAATAGGCGTAGATTTTTTAAACATATTTTTAAAGGATTTCCAATAGGCGTGGATTTTTTTAAAAATATTTTTAAAGGACTTCTAATAGGCACAGATTTGTATACACTTCACCACACTGTGACAGGGTATTATGTCTTTGTGCATATGTTTGTAACAGTCAAAAGGAAACGAGATAGATCCATGGTTCGTTTTGAGAATTTACATAGAATCACTTTCTGAGTCAATTTACGCATGTCCGTCCGACCGTCCATGTATTTTTGCGAACAAAGTACAGGTCGCATTTATGATCTGATTTGAATGACATTTGGCATATATCACTCATTCGGCCCAAGGACGAACCCTATTGAATTTCGAGATAATCGGTTCAGATTTAGATATAGCTCCCATATATAGTTTCCTCCAATTTTAGGTAAATGGTGCACCAAACTCCCAATATTTTTTCCATTGGGACAAAATTTTACAGAGTACTGAATTAGGTCCAGATTGCCAAATTTTGTTGGAATCGCTTCAGCTTTAGATAAACCTCCGATATATAGTTTCGACCGATTTTAGGTAAATGGAGCACCAAAGAGTCAAATTTAGGCCGATTGGCACGAAATTTTGCTCAGTGTGCTGAAGTAGGTTGAAATTTATGTATGCGAAGTTTTTTTTAAATCGGTTCAGATTTAGATATAGCTCCCATATATAGTTTCGTCCGATTTTATGTAAATGGTACACCAAACTTCCAATATTTTTTCCATTGAGACAAAATTTTGCACAGAGTACTGAATTAGGTCCAGATTGCCAAATTTTGTTGAAATCGGTTCAGATTTAGATATAGCTCCCATATATAGTTTCATCCGATTTTATGTAAATGGAGCACCAAAAAGTCAAATTTAGGCCGATTGGCACGAAATTCTGCACAGCGTACTGAAGTAAGTCCAAATTTATGTATGCGAAGTTTTGTTGAAATCTGTGCAGATTTAGATATGACTCCCATGTATCGTTTCTTCCGATTTTTTGTAAATGATGCACCATACTGTAGATGTGTATCCGATTGAGGTAAAAATTTTGCACAGAGTACTGTGGTGCTGGGTGGTGCTGTTTTTTATTATAAATTAAAAAATTTATAAAATTCTGCATCAAAACCATAACTTACCGTCCTGGTACATTGTAAATTTAATTCCCACCAGAATTTAAACTATTAAAAACTTCTTAAGTTTCTTTGTACAAATTAAATTTATGTTGTTTTCAATAATGTAATATTTACTCAAACAGGGAAATAAGTTGGTTGTATTAATTTAATTGGTTCTAGATAAAAAGAGAGAGCTTGTATACAAACTCAAGAATTTGTATATTTTGTATTTATATAATTTTGTATAATAATAATTTCCTTATTATAAGTAAACATAAAAAACTGAATTTAAAAATAAAATATTATGTTTTTATAATTTAACAAAAACAAATTCCTAACGATTTTTTAATTAACCCCACAACAAAGGTAAATTTGAAATAATATTAATTAAACAATTTCTTATTTCTTTCTTCTTCTTTTCATTCCCTGTATCTGTCTCCTAGATCTCTCCGAGATACCATTGTGTGAATCAGCCATATCCTGTGATAATTTACCCAGTGCCGATAATGGCCGTCTACCATGTCCACGGGTGGTATGTTCCATACTGCGACCCGGTGATGATATAATTTGGCAAGATTATGCACGCACAGAAATGATTGAAAACACAGCAAATCCACAATTTCTATGCACTGTGGTTTTTAGACAAAGTGATGGATTTACGGCAGATACCCCATTGAGATTTACTGTCTACGATGTACGTGAAAAGGTTTCACAGACCGCAGTGCCAATTGGTTATGCGGAAGTGGTTTTGGGAGCAATTCAGGTATACATGTCATGACTTTTATTTGAATTTTCCCCCTTATTGAAAATTACGTTTTTGTTGTAATAGGATGCCACACGTTTTCGATTGCCTTTACGTTCCATACATGGTGACTGTGGTTTCATTAATATTGCTTCATGGGCCCCTGATACCGATAAACAGCTGCAGCCACCACCACGTTCAACCACACAGGTGTTTGAGCAACAGAGCAAAGGTCACCGGCGCACACAATCGTTGCCACCCAAATTGGGTGTCAAATTGTTTGTACCATTTCAGGGTAGCATACAAAGGGTCTTTGCAAATCCAAGGGTAAGTGTCCACGCCTCTTTAATAAATCCACGCCTCAGTTGGCCCTTGAAAAATATTCTTTAATAAATCCACGCCTCTTTAATAAATCCACGCCTCTTTAATAAATCCACGCCTCAGTTGGCCCTTGAAAAATATTCTTTAATAAATCCACGCCTCTTTAATAGACCCTGAAAAAATATTATTTTAAAAATCCACGCCTCTTATAGACCCTGAAAAAATATTATTTTAAAAATCCACGCCTCTTATAGACCCTGAAAAAATATTATTTTAAAAATCCACGCCTCTTTAATAGACCCTGAAAAAATATTCTTTTAAAAAATCCACGCCTCTTTAATAGACCCTGAAAAAATATTCTTTTAAAAAATCCACGCCTCTTTAATAGACCCTGAAAAAATATTCTTTTAAAAAATCCACGCCTCTTTAATAGACACTGAAAAAATATTCTTTTAAAATATCCACGCCTCTTTAATAGACCTTGAAAAAATATTCTTTAAAAAATCCACGCCTCTTTTATAGACCCTGAAAAAATATTCTTTTAAAAAATTCTTTTAAAAAATCCACGCCTCTTTAATAGACCCTGAAAAACTATTCTTTAAAAAAATCCACGTCTTTTATTAGACCCTTAAAAAATTCACGCCTTTTATTAGACCCTGAAAAATATTCCTTAAAAAATTCACGCCTTTTATTAGACCCTCAAAAAATATTCTTTAAAAATCCACGCCTTAAATAGGCCCCGTCAAAAAATATTCCTTTAAAAATCCAATATTTTTCTCTTATATTTTTCAGATCCATACGTATCGCCTGAATTCTAGTCTCGGAGCTGATATCAGCGTCCATGAAACAATGCTGGAGTCGAAATTGTGTTTCAATATACCACAGCAATTATTGTAAGTCCAAAAAAAATCCGCATATTTTGAGAACAAAAATAATTATTCTCTTCTCTATTTCCCTCAGATCCATTTGGATATTACGCGAAAAAGAATTGCTGCAGGAAATATCCGGCATGGGAGAATTGGGTGGCGAATGGCGTCGCCGACAAATGGATTTGCTGGATAAACATTTGAAATTACTGAAAGACTATTCGCAGGCTAAACAAAATTTACAACAATTAACAAAGGATGAGGGTAGGAATTGCTATTAAAAATATTATTTTTTGAGGCTATGTTTTATTTTTTTCTCTTTGCAGGTCCATTTTTCAAACGCTCTTCAGACAAAACTGATGAATCTTTGGAATTTATACCAGTGAATTTACATTTGCAGCGTATGTGGGTCCAAAATGATTCCTTAAATCGTTCGGCAGTATTGGATATTGTCACTGTGGGAGCATTTACCCGGCATGCGGGTCTAAAGAAGAGAACTGGCGGTTTAATAAAGTAAGGAGTGAAATTTGTTGGTAGTCCCTTAAAAAATATTTTTAACAAATCCCCTTATTTGTCCCTCCTCCAGACTTTTGCAAGATACCAAAGAATCTCCTTCCAAATTTGAGGCCAGCAATAATTGTAAAGTTCTGGCTGCCAATGATGCGGTTCAGGCCATTAAACACTTACGCAAAGAAATTGTGGAAATTATGTCGCAACTCTTGACCTTGGCCAAGTCGAAAAATCCCAAAGGAATGATGCCGTTGTGTAATGAAATGGTTACCAAAACAAAAACCCTACTTAATATTTGGGAACCCAGTCTGGTGGAAGAGGCATTTTCATTTATAGAACAACACAGGATTATTGAGGAGCCGGATAATACGTTAATGGTAAGACCAAATCACTTTCATAAATAATTTTTGATTTAATATTTCCCCCCAATATTTTACAGCCCATGTCACCATTCCGCAAAATAACTCAACAACTGAACGACTTAGAATTGAAATCTCCCGAATTGGAAGATTTCTCTACCCCAGTAGTAGCCCCACCAGATCTATGGCCAAGAGCTAAAACCCCTACAGCCCATTATGGTGGAAATCGCTTAATACGTTCCAATAGTTTGACCCAGTTGAGGACATCACCATCGCTAAATCTGGATATCGATGCCATACACAATCTACAGCACACAGTTCGGGCTTACAATGAACATTTGCAGAGAAAGGCTAAACAGGAATCGTATACCAATCGCATACCAGATGCCCACAAAACCATGGAAGAATTTGATAATGGAGAGGCAACCTATCAGTCCCTACCGCTTTACATTAATTCCAATACCAAATATACTGAACCGAATTTCAATGAACTTCGTGAAGAAGAAATTGATGGTGATGATGATAATGCAGAACATGAAATAAATACTTCCATAAAATTAATAGATTTAGATGAAAATAATGCAACTAGTCAAGACCAAAAAATACCGCAAAAAACATCGACATCTTCAAGACCCATAAGGACTTCCTCCAATCGCATTTCCATGCCGCCAAATTTCAATCATGATTATGAAATCACATCTCATCATTGTTCCATATTAGCAACGCACAATGCCAGATTTTTAGATACCAAAATGATGAGTACCTCACCATCGGCCAATTATTATAGGCCCACCGAGGAACCGGAACCTTTGGATTTGACACAATTGAATATAGAGGCCAGTGTTATGTGTTTGGTTAGTAAAATAAAATTTCTGTGTGGTCGATGTGGTTCACCAGCCATACGTTTAAGGCATCCCAAGGGAGCCATGAAGCGTTCGGGTTTCAATAATAATCCAGTACCCGATGTCTTGGATAATGGTAATTCCCCGGCAATGGAATTAGCTAGACAAGATGAGACACCACAAGAAACGAACCTAGAGGGTTCATCACCCAATGGTAATAGCAATGGTTTGAATTTGGATTTAACACAAGGGGCCATGGATTCGACCCAACCCATTAAGAAGGGAAATAAATTTACCGATGGTATGCGACTCAAACTTCAATTCCTTTCCAATAAATTAATTTTATCAATTTTCCTTACAGGTCTCGATTTATCGTTGACCACCGATTGGGCTTCCGAATTGCGGCCGTCAATGCGCAAGCTACGTCATGCTATGGATGGCCTATTAAAAACGGCACGGCTCATGCATTCCGTACAACGTTTACAACAGGATATGCAAAGGATTAGTATAAATTTGGAGACAATGTATCGTCGGGATGTCTGCTTTTCACAATCGTTGACGGCATTGATCACTGCTCTGATGGCCAAATTATGGGGTAATGAAATTACCGATAATTTCATACGCATCCTATGTGATTTAGGTCCCCTGGCATACTTTGAGGGTCTACTTTCGTTGCATGGCAGTGAAATAGATATGTGGGGTGATATGTGTATTGCCATTGAAGATCTATTGGGTGTCGATTTTGAATTGGTGCGGTGCTCGAGTGGAAGGTATGTTAGAAAAAAATAGTTTAAATAATATTTTCAAAGACCACAAGAGGCGTGGATTTTTTTTAAGAATATTTTTTCAAAGACCACAAGAGGCGTGGATTTTTTTAAGAATATTTTTTTTCAAAGACCAAAGACCACAAGAAGCGTGGATTTTTTTTAAGAATATTTTTTCAAAGACCAAAGACCACAAGAGGCGTGGATTTTTTTTTAAACCCAACCCAACACCCAAGGACCACAAGAGGCAGGCGTGGATTTTTTAAAGAATATTTTCACCCAAGGACCGGGGTCTACAAGAGGTGTGGATTTTTTAAATAATATTTTTTCAAAGACCAAAGACCACAAGAGGCGTGGATTTTTTTAAGAATATTTTTTCAAAGACCAAAGACCACAAGAGGCGTGAATTTTTTAAAGAATATTTTTTCAAAGACCACAAGAGGCGTGGATTTTTTTAAGAATATTTTTTCAAAGACCACAAGAGGCGTGATTTTTTTTTTTAAGAATATTTTTTCAAAGACCACAAGAGGCGTGGATTTTTTTTTAAGAATATTTTTTCAAAGACCATCTAGGGCGTGGATTTTTTAAAAATATTTTTTTTCAAAGACCAAAGACCACAAGAGGCTTGGATTTTTTAAAGAATATTTTTTCAAAGACCAAATACCACAAGAGGCGTGGATTTTTTTAAGAATATTTTTTCAAAGACCCAAGACCACAAGAGGGATTATTTAAAGGCGTGGATTTTTTAAAGATTTTTTTGAGGGATTATTTAAAGTCGTGGATTTTTTAAAGATTTTTTTGGGGATTATTTAAAGGCATGGAGTTATTGAAACCAGTGAATTTTTTTAAGAATATTTTTTCAACGACTTTTCCGTTTCTCTTTTTGTATTTTTTCCAGTAATGATACCCAATCAACACCCACACCTCGCATAACGGGTTCACGACAATCCCTTACCGTCTACCTACCCGTCCCCGAACATGTCTACGCCCTGTTGCCCACCAAACAGACGGTAAATTTCAAAGTAACCCCGGTATTCTTTAATATCGGTATCAATGAAAAAGCCACCCTGGCTGAAGCTATGAATCGTACCCGAGAACAACATCGTTCCAATTGGGATAATTATGTACGGCTGAAACAATATTATACCCGTTTTCGTAAATTACCATTGGCCATACCGGAAACTCCCAGCAAGCATGAACCGCATATGCCAGCCCCGCAAATATTGGCGAACCTCTTAAATTTCCTCGAGGATCAACTGAAGGCGAACGTATCGAAAAATGTGAAAATTTTACATTTAGTTGAGGATGCATGTCGGCTGATGTCCGGCTTACGATTTACCTCATGTAAAAGTGCCAAAGATAGAACTGGAATGGCTGTAACACTGGAACAGTGTCGTGTCCTTGTGCAGGAATTCCAATTGCCAGCCAAAAATGTACCACAAATTTTGAATACAATGCGCAGCGAGGGCTGTCGCATGGATAATGTTTTCAAGAGTATTGATAAGCGTAAATATGCATTCAATTTACCGCAAGTGTTGAGTCTGCCGGTGATGTATAGGCCACCGGTGGGTGCTTATGGTAAAGCGGAGACATAAAGGAGGAGGAAAAGTAAAAAATATAAAATGAAATTTAAATATTTATTGTTAACAAAAAATGCGATAATTTATAGAGTTATTGTAGTGGAGTTCGGGTGGCGAGAATGGAGAGGAATGGGAATTCAAAAAAAAAAAATTAATAATGGTTTAGAATGATTCGAAAAATCTCAGTTATTTTCATAACTCTCAATTGTCTCTCCACCTGAATCTTAGTAATTACGCTTAAATCATATGAAACGATTTCAAAACCTTCACACACACATACTTACATAACTGTAATGTAATAGCAATCACAATGTACTTCAGTTTACAAAAGCGGGTGATAACTTTTTTTCTTTGAAACATGGAAATGGGTCATCTTGACAACGAAGAATTTTCAAAACGAGGTTTATAAAAATATTTCCTCGTGTTTTTTTGTAAGAGACCTATCGAAATGTTTAGTTTATTTTCTATTAGTTTGAAATTACTTTTGTAAAATAAATTTATTTATTTATTATTATTGTTAACTATTTTTTTAATTTATTCAGTTGAAAACAAAACAAATGTTTTTTTTTTTCATTTACAAAAAAATATATATTCGTTCTTTTTGTTAAAAGATCGAGCAAATGTTGTGCCAAATATATATGTATTATTTAATAACAATTAAAAAAATAAACAATGTTTTTAAACAAATGCATTAATAAAAAACCATAACCTTAAAATGAAATAAACAAAAATATGGAAATTACAACCAATGATAAAAGTAATTGTTTCACTGTTTCAATTAATTAATTGATTAATTTTAAATTTGAATATTTTGACCACGTGGATTTTTTAAAGAATATTTTCACCCAAGGACCACAGGAACTTGATTTTTTAACGAATATTTTCACCCATAGACCACAAGAAGCAGGCGGGGATTTTTAAAGACTATTTTCACCCAAGGACCCCAAGAAGCAGGCGTGGATTTTTTAAAGAATATTTTCACCCATAGACCACAAGAAGCAGGTGGGGATTTTTAAAGAATATTTTCACCCATAGACCACAAGAAGCAGGCGGGGATTTTTAAAGACTATTTTCACCCAAGGACCACAAGAAGCAGGCGTGGATTTTTTAAAGAATATTTTCACCCAAGGACCACAAGAAGCAGGCGTGGATTTTTTAAAGAATATTTTCACCCAAGGACCACAAGAAGCAGGCGTGGATTTTTTAAAGAATATTTTGACCAAAGACCAAACGGAACAGGTGTGGAATTTTTTAAATAATATTTTGACCAAAGACCAAAGGGAACAGGCGTGGATTTTTTAAAGAATATTTTCACCCAAGGACCACAAGAAGCAGGCGTGGATTTTTTAAAGAATATTTTGACCAAAGACCAAAGGGAACAGGCATGGATTTTTTTAAAGAATATTTTGACCAAAGACCAAAGGGAACAGGCGTGGAATTTTTTAAAGAATATTTTGACCAAAGACCAAAGGGAACAGGCGTGGATTTTTTAAAAAATATTTTGACCAAAGGGAACAGGCGTGGATTTTTTAAAAAATATTTTGACCAAAGGGAACAGGCGTGGATTTTTTAAAAAATATTTTGACCAAAGGGAACAGGCGTGGATTTTTTAAAAAATATTTTGAGCACACCGAGAGTGACAGGGCGAAAAGGAGTGTGTAACGTCGCATAAGAGCACTCCGAGCTGAGGAGGAACTGCCACAATTTACGAAGGAGGACGTTGCAGATGTCATCAATAACGCTAAGTCATCCAAAACGTTGAGCCCGTACGGAATATCTATGGTAATGCTTATGAAGCTGGATGAACCCGGAGGTGAGTACTTAACATCAGCCCTCAACTTGTTAACCACCCACATAGTTCCTGAGGCCTGGAAAATAGGCAGGGTGGTACCCCTACTGAAGACTGTCAAGGATGCCAGCAGGGGTGAATCGTACAGGTCGATTTCACTCCTCCCATCGTTGAGAAGCAGTTTTCTAGTTGCCCAACACCAACATGGATTCCGTATGATGCACAGCCATTTCCACACATATTAGCAGAGGACTCAACCAGAACAGGCCGTGCAACCGAACAGTTATGGTGACACTTGACCTATCGAAGACCTTCAATACCGTCAATCAAGCCAAGCTGTTCTAAGATGTAGAGAGGACAAATCTCCTACCGTGTTTGAAACGTTGGATAATCAACTATATGTGTGGACGCCAGTCGTATGTGGAATTCAGAAACAGGAAGTCTAAACCCCCTAGAGTGAAACAGGAAGTTCCCCGAGGGAGGGGTGATATCCCCGGAACTGGTCAACCTCTACCTTTCTGATATTCCACAACCACCGGACGGCATAGAGCTCGTAATGTATGCGGATGATTGTACGATCATGGCGTCGGGTCCCATTATTGATGATATATGTGGGAGGCTAAACGTCTACATAGCCGATCTTGTAAATTTCTTCCATCTGAGGAATATGAAAATATCCGCCACCAAATCAACAGCCACACTCTTCACCACATGGACGGCTGAAATAATGCTCCCACTGAGCACCAACTACCCCAAAATACTGGGAGTAACGTTCGACAGCCTTTTTCAAGTCGTCTGCGCAAGCCACTGCTTTATGAGATAAGCTGAGAAGTAGGAACAAGATCCTCAGTACAAAGAAACAAAGATTGTTGACAAAGAAAGCTTGTTGACCTCTTATAAAGCAATAGGCCGGCCAGTGTTAAGCTATGCGACGCCAGTGTGGCTCGCGAATGTTAGTGATTCGCAGTGGAAGAATATGCAGACCTCCCAGAACACAGCCCTGATAACTGCAACAGGGTGTCTCCTCATGACTTCTGTGGACCATCGTCACAATTGTATGTTATCGATGCAGTACTTGCTTGGGTGCTATCGTCGGGAATATCCCTGCCATAGTCTTATGTGGAGGACTCACCCAGGCACGCCAAGACATATCTTCATGCTCTAGAGCGTGAACCCCTAGATCAAGAAGCCTATCAAGCAGTTCTGAATGGTATTCACACGGACGCTCAGGCAGTACAGCAACATCGCGTAAATACCATAATTGGAGACCACCCCATCCATCGCAGCAGAGGAGAACCAGCTGCCAAGGCAAAAACGAGTGGTCTTAGCTCAAATAAGATCAGGATGGTCAACCGCCTCAATTCATATTGGGCAAGAATTGACGGCACGTTGCACCTTTTCAACTGCCCAGCTAAGCCGACTCATATATCGCCGGATTCGCTTTGGACGCAACCCATTCAAGTTGCAACTTTCTTGAATTTGGATTTAGAGGAAGCAGAACCAGTCGATGAATAACAAACTACATATATTCTGTTGCTGTAACAACAACAATAACATTTTCAATCTAAACATTTGTATCTGAAAACCAGTAAGGAAAGTAGTAAAGTCGGACGGGGCCGACTATATGATACCCTTCACCACTATGGATATATTAAACAGGACTATTAACATGAAATTGGATGAAATAAAATATGTGATATTTATCTAAATGTGAATTTACCTATATATCCATAAGTTATATAAATCGACTTCAATCAAATATAAATAGGTTATCTGTTGGGCTATGTCTGTACTTCTAGAAAACGCAACTACGTAATTCTATGCTCAATTTTGTACGTTGTGCAAAATTTGATGTCAACCTGACTAGCATGAAGAGATGTCCAATTTACTTAAAATCGGGCGAAAATATATATGGAAGCTCTATCCAAATATATCGAAGGATATATAGGGACTTTGGTGCACCATTTACATGAAATCGGACGAAACTATATCTGAATCTGGGCCGATTTTCTCGAAACTGGGCAGACATCATTCTAGCCTCAATTCAGTACGTTATGCCAAATTTCATGCAAATCGAAAGATATATAAGGACTTTGGTACACCATTTACCTTAAATCGGAGGAAGTTATATACGGGAGCTATATCTAAATCTGAACCGATTTTCACGAAACTTTGCACACATCATTCTAGACTTAATTCAGTGAGCTATGCCAAATTTCGCGCAAATCGAAAGATATATAGGGACTTTGGTACGCCATTTACCAAAAATCGGCCGAAACTATATATGGGAGCTATATCTAAATCTGAACCGATTTTCACGAAACTTGGCACACATCTTTCGTGGCTCAATTCAGTACGCTATGCCAAATTTCGTGCAAATCGAAAGATTTTCAGGGTCTAAAGTCCGTAAATCGGGAGAAACTATATATGGGAGCTATATATAAATCTGAACCGATTTTCACGAAACTTGGCACACATCTTTCGTGGTTCAATTCAGTACGCTATGCCAAATTTCGTGCAAATCGAAAGATTTTCAGGGTCTAAAGTCCGTAAATCGGGCAAAAATATATATGGGAGCTATATCTAAATCTGAACCGATTTTTCCCAATTTCAATAGGGTTCGTCCTTGGGCCAAACAAATGAGCTGTGCCAAATTTCATCCAAATCGGATCATAAATGCGACCTGTACTTTGTTTACAATTTAACATGGACAGACGGACGGACGGACATGCATCAATCGATTCAGAAAGTGATTCTATGCATATTCTCAAAAGGAACCATGGGTCTATCTCGATTATTTTTGCCTGTTACAAACATATGCACAAAGACATAATACCCTGTACCACAGTGTGGTGAAGGGTATAAATATGCATATGACACAATGTATCTACGGTTTATATCTGTTAGGGTTGAATGAGTATCTCGTAGATACTATTTGGTATACAGAAACTTTCTCTAGCAACATGTCCATGCGGATATATGTTGCAGTTACATGTATGTATTGATTTAATGTTGCAGATACTTTAACTGTGGATAACCGAATGTAGCCAAGAAAAACAGTGGTTTGGATACACTGGAATGTAAAAAGAGTTGATTCATCGAAGGAATACTTTTGAAGGGAACAAAAAAAAAAGAGACCATGCGTTTTATACAGATGATTTTTTAAACAAAAATTTCAGATTTTTTATAAAAAAATGCATTTTGATATTTTTATTTTATAATTATATTGCCTT